GGTATGTATATATATGTATATATATATATATATATATATATATAAATCAAGATAGCCCTTAACACTGTTAAATAAATGATCAAAGAAAAGTAAAATACAGTGTTCGAATAGAGGACATGATAGTACATCTTATCGTATCTTATCTTATCTTGTAGCAAAGCTCTCAACGAATGTTGTCCTATAAGTTAATCAAGAAATTGTGTAATAAAATGCCTCCTTCGAGGCATTTTTATTACACACACACACACACACACACACACACACACACACACACATATATATATATATATATATATAAAATATATATATATATACACACACATATAATTTATAATTTATATACCATGCAGCAAGTCTGGTTTAACATTAGGCACTAAAGTGTATAGCCATTGACCATGATTACATTTACATATACATATATATTTATGTTAAATTGTATATTTTATTAGGCCTATATAGGCCTACTGTACGTTCGGTATACATGTGTGTGACTGTGTATTTATATGTGTGGGCCTAGTCTAAATACAATTGATATACAATATTTACAGTTATTAAAAAAAACCACTTAATATCGAATAATTGCATGTCAGTATTCTTGAATACAGAAAATGTTGGTGTGGTGGTCTGATGTTGAATAGTTCGTTTCGGGGCAGGTTTCATCGGTTTATACTGTTCATGAGGCATTATTAAAAGATGGGCCCATCTACCTTTACTTATTATGAATTAGGCCTATTAAAAGCCAGAAAGCACCATTTAAAAATTTCTAACAAGCTTCAGTCCAGCCCCTGCGGTTTTCGTCTGAAAAAAAAATCACTGATGAATTCTACGTGTGGTTAGATGAAGATGTTCCTACTAATATTAATGTTAGTAATAGTAACTGTGTCAGGTTCTGCCTTCCTATACATGCAATTGACCAATAATACAGAAAATGTGGGTGTGGTGGTCTGATGTTGAATAGTTCGTTTCGGGGCAGGTTTCATCGGTTTATACTGTTCATGAGGCATTATTAAAAGATGGGCCCGTCTACCTTTACTTATTATGAATTAGGCCTATTAAAAGCCAGAAAGCACCATTTTAAAATTTCTAACAAGCTTCAGTCCAGCCCCTGTGGTTTTCGTCTGAAAAAAAAATCACTGATGAATTCTACGTGTGGTTAAGATGAAGATGTTCCTACTAATATTAATGTTAGTAACTGTGTCAGGTTCTGCCTTGCTATACATGCAATTGTATTTTAACGACGGATAGGCCTACGATTATTAATTACAAATCACCTAACACTACACGCCGCTTTTGACACAAACGTCCCATAGATTTATAGCATTCTGGCCTAACTAATCGATTGTTTAGTGGAGCAAGCGATGACATTATTAGATTAAATACAAGATAATGTGTAAAACCTTTACCTTGTCTGCTATTAACTGCTAAATACCCACAGACGTTGTCAAATCTGCAAAAAGTTACCCAATATTTCCCCTTCGAAAACTGTCTTCCATTATGTATCGGATAACTAGCCAGCCTGTGAATGTGTTCGTTGGTCCGTGGGACAAAACAAAAATCAACAAAAGGAAAAGGACAATAGAAATGCTGACGATGAGATTCTATTAATCACGCTTTAAATATTCACGCATTAAGATAAATCCGAAGGCATATATACCGCCACCATTTGTCCCAAGTTCAACTAAAGGCCTACCATATCACATTGGCTACTCATTCTTCTTCATTTATAGGCCTATGTACGTACCACATGTATGCACAGGCCTACTATTTCAGCATGAAGCTTGTAAAACACCTAATTATGTAATTTGCATCACATGAAAACAACATTACAAAACAGTAACGACCTGGTCTTCGTTTAACTCGAACCAGGGCCCGCGGCATCTACCATGTCGATGCCTTTCCAACCAACCACCGTGATAAAGGCAGTGGCGTATTCAAGGGGGTGGGGGGGGGGGCGGCTTCATTTGTGCCATAATCATACATTTTCTGAAATCAGCCCCAACCATGAGGTGCTTCAGACTCTCCATCGTGTAAGTTTCTCCGGGGCCCCTTTATTTCGAATTCCTAGACCCGCCACTGAATACTAAATATAGATGATGAGGTGATTAAGGACGCCAAAGAAACAACATTACATTTCGCAAAGAGGTTATATTTTTATTCGATTTTTGTGTGTGTGTGTGTTTGTATGTTTTATTAGCAACCTCCTGCCTACAGTAAATGCTAACGTCCGGGATATTTCAAAAATGTATCAGCTGATCTGAATGAAATTTTCTATAATGGTTTTTCATGTTCCAATGAAGAAATGATTACATTTAGGTGACGATCCAGATTTGGATGCGATCATTTAAAATGCTAATGTGCCAGACTTTCTAAAATGGTTAGCTATTGCCAAGAAAAAAAATCATGCTATTTTGGTTACGCTCCGGAGTAGGATGTGCTTGTGGAGACCCTTAAAACGGAACGTCCCTTACCTAAATGTCTGATCAATGATTTGAATGAAACTTCCGAGAATGGTTTGTCAGGGTCCAAGGAACAATGTTCGAAGGCTCGGAGTGTGCTCTAGTCTAGGAGTGGGCACTAAGTGGCCGGTGATCGTCGGCAGACACGATTCTGTAAAGAACGCAATGCTAAGACGCGCGCACAACGGATCGCTTTTAATGACGATCCGTTCAAACTGCCACTGACAATCAGCAAACGACCGGTGTTGGATTCATCGGCCGACGGCCGTACTCAGTGAGTGAATGCCCGGCTTTGCGCACATTTCCTTTTAGAGGACTAAAAACTTACTAAATAATTATAAAGAGCAGGTTTTGTTTTCTGTGTGGAATAGCCTTTTTATACCCTCATAACACCTTAATGTTACCCTATTTTATTCATTTTAATTAAATTTTGGAACGCCAGCAACTTATTGTAAAGTCATAATTTTTAGAGATAACAAATAAGTGGAAATTAAATTGAATTCTCATTCCAAAGAATAAAACCTGTTTGAGGAAATAAATAAACAAATAGAAAGTACAGCAATGCAGATAAACTTTGAAAGGAAACGTTCTTGAACTATCTAGGCAATGGTGCCTACGTGTGTAAGTAATAGGATGTATGGTGTAATAAAGCAGAAAGTGAAAGTTAAGCTTGGGTTGGGTTCGCATTTAATCCTCATTATAATTATTTTATTATTATTGCAGGTTATTTCATCATACGTTCATGTGAGGTTCAAGCTCACGTTTCTCTTCACTGTCACGTAAATTCTTCTTCTAAGGACACAAAATAAATAATATAAATAAAATATCTACTAATGTGAAAGTACAACTGGATTAGTCAATATAAATATGAACGCATGTACAGTACTTCCAAAAACTATAGTTACACAGGTTGATTCCACTCTATTTTTTATGACTTGCATTATTTTGTCGTATTGCGCAAGGGAGAACTGAGTTTTTTTTTAACGAGGGGATAATAC